ATTGTCATTTTGACGAATCCACTTACCCACCACTAGGGGGAGATCATAATAATCATAAGCTGGTAAAAGAAATTATACGGAATCAATCATCCATATAATGGCAAAGATCCTCGGACTATGAAATATGAATTAGACGTCCAAAAGCTAGCTAATTGCCAGATTCCTTTGACCCAAATATATAGTGACTCAATCACATATACCAGCTATGAATGCACCTATAAGAATTGATGTTCATGAAGGACGCAATCAAGTTGCTACAGAGTCTAAGGCCCGTATGAAACGAGGCAGACCAATAAGTTCAAAAGATTAAAACCCTCGGAAACAAAGAAAGGTGCTAAGAATAATTCCGAGGTTACCGTGGTGGGTACCCGTGACATAACCGAACCTCAGTTACCAAATAATGAGACTTGGGACGCCAAGGTTCAAGGTACTGATGATGTTCATAATAATAATGTGATCGCGATCATTGATGTTATGTCCGGGATAAAATGGAACTGAAAAGATGTCGACGTCGACAATATATTTGCATACAAGGTATCACTTGAAATAAAATTGATAAGCGAGGATATATAACCCACGTCCATAATATAATGCACTCAATGCACATATTGGATTAAATATTTGGAGATAACCCACGACCATAATAAGAATGCACTCAATGCACAGATTGGATTAATATGTGGAGAAGAGGAATGTATAAGGCCACCTCTCGTATAAAGCCAGTTGGACATAAATGGGTCTTTGTGAGGAAAAGAAATAAATATGGTGATATCGTGAGATATAAAGCACGGCATATTGCACAAGGATCCTCACATAGACCATGAATATATTATGAGGAGATATGCTCCCATGTGGTGGATGCTAAGTCTGACTATATAAAAGAAAAGACTTGATTTGCGGCTAATGGATGTAATGCCTGCATATTTATATAAGTCCATTGGATAATATAAGAGATTACCAGAGAGTATTGAGCTCAAATATAAGAAAGGTTCTCGAGAACATCACTGCGCATAAGGCTGGACAAATCCTTTCATGGACTTAGAATAAATGGGCGTATGTAAGATTATAAACGATCCCATCAGTCCATGAATACTCATAAAGAGGTTTGCAAACAAAGGATTTGTAATCATAAGCAGTGTATATGAACCTCTGGGTAATCGACCAAACAGTTGAAAGACCTATGCAATAAATAAGTCCTGTTTGGAATTACACCTTGAGTACATAAATAATGAAATCCTTGTGCATCAAATGGCATACAATAAAGGGTACTCAACGGAGAAATTTAATAAGGACTAGGCCCGCCCATTGACCAGGCCCAATGGTAGTGAGAAGCCTAAGATTGGATAGTGATCCATTCAGTCCGTAAATGCCATACCTCAGTGTCATAAGAGCTTTAATGTATCTGCCGAGCCACACTAGGCCTGATATATGTTTTGTCGTGAATCTATTATCTAGATTTAGCTCATGTCCAACCCAAAGGCACTGGGACGGGATTACAACATATTCTTCGTTATCTACAAGGTACGAAAGATTTGGGTTTATTTTATACTAACCATCCCAAGGAGGGATTAGTTGGTTTTGCTGATGCAGGTTATCTCTCGGATCCGCACAATGGTCGATCACAAACTGGCTATGTTTTCACGTACGGTGGAACGGCAATATCTTGGCGATCTCAAAAGCAAACGATCGCAGCAACATCGTCCAACCATTCTGAAATCTTGGCGATGCATGAAGCCAGCCGTGAATGCGTTTGGTTGAGGTCCATGACTCAACATATTATGATCGATTGTGGGATGACCGAAGGGAAGGCAGCACCAACAATAATGTATGAGGACAATGCTGCCTGCATAGCTCAGCTCAAAAATGGATACATCAAAGGAGATATGACGAAACACATCTTGCCAAAGTTCTTCTTCACTCATGAATTACAGAAAGCCGGAGAAGTTCAAGTCGAACAAGTTCAATCATGTGACAACTCGGCGGATCTATTCACCAAGTCGCTTCCAACTTCAACGCTCAAGAAGCTTATTAAGCAGATTGGAATGCGATGGCTTAAAGATCTTCAGT